ATCTCCTTTGGGTAATACAGGAGTGATTTCTCTGACCTACGGGCATTGTAGTCTTTGACTTGGGAATATTGAGCCATGTTATGCGCCAACTTGAGGACTTCCGGGCTCCTTTCGTTCAGATGTGCCCATGTATACATCCTGCGAACGGCAGTCCCTGGCATGTTCTGGTGTTGCGAGGCAAAATTCCAATGTTTCAATCCGAACTTCGGGTCTACAGACATGTTCCTGAGCGTCTCGGTGATGGTGCTAGGAGAAGGCTTCGGGATGTTCGGGTGCCGCTCTTCCCAAAGCGTGAGAAACGGTCGTGGCATTTCACCGCCGCCTGGAAAAACACCGCCGCACATCTTGATGATCTCGAGAATGAGGTTCTGCCTCAACGTGCGTTGGGTTCCTGCAATGCCACCACGTTGTGCTTTCCTTGGTTTGGTGCCCGGGATAGTCGGTACTGGGGTCTCGACGATAGCGCTGTGAACCGCGTTGGGCGGAGGAGCACCAGAATTGGCCTCGGGAACGGGAGCTGGCGACGACTGGGCTACCGGACTTGGGCTGGCGGCATAAGGGCTCTGATACGGTGTCATACGGGCGCGCTCGGTTGCATTGATGGCGGCCCAGCCGCCCACCATACGAGGTGTTGGTACGACTGTCTGGGGCGGTTGTTTCCGTGTCGGCTTGGGAGAAACATCACTAGGCTCTTCAACATTGGCGGAGGCTGCAGTTATAGCCGTGACAACGTCGTCGCTTCTAATGACCATTGCGTCAGGTACAGACGATGTCGCTTCTTCTTTGTTGACCTCATTGCTGTCTTGTGACGGCTCGCTATCAGGTAGGACTGACTGTCTAGCAGAGATAGATGACTCCTCATGGATCAGAACATCCTTTTGCGTCTGCATTCCGATCGGTGACTGCGGTTGCATTGGAGAAGGTGACCGTGTTTGGGCTGGGGTCAAGTTTTGTGGGATGGTCTCCAGATGAGCGAGTGGCGCCTCAATATGCGGTTGAGTCGTTGCTCCATCTCGCTGGGTAACACTGGTCTGCACAGACTGGGGTGTTTGAGAACGTTCTGCTTGAATCGCGCCTTGCTCCTGCTCCGATTCTGTTATAAACCAGTCGAGATCGGCTAGATGCGGTAGCTTGAAGGTGGCCATCAGGGCCTTACGTGGTCGACCTCGCGCAACCTTCTGCTTCATATGAGGATTGAGAAACAGGCCCGGGGAGCATCGCTTGTCGTATTGATCAACCACACCCCGTGCTCGAGCGTCCAGTTTGGAGGCGTCGAGCGGAACGTATGTTTTCGTCAAAGGCCGGGCAATGTGTACTGTAGTTGACTGGCCCGAATGATCATCAGGACGGACAGGGGAAGCTGCGTTTCCGGGCGGACTTCCAACATCAGTGGGCGAGGGCGACATCGATGCCACAGTCCTTGATTCTGACCTCTGTGAAACTGTAGTTTTGGTGAGGCGTCTCTTCGACGTTCTTGGGGTAGCGACCACGTCCTTCGCCTTCCGCTTTCCGGTAACGGGCTCGGGCGAGACATGACCAGTCCCTGGCTCCGTGAGAGTAGGTCCAGGCACATAGTCAGCCTCAGGGTTCTCCATAGAGACGTCGATATCTTTGTCCCTGCAGGGTGAGGCTTGCTTTTTGGTGGATCCTGCGCCCTCTTCCTTCTTTCTCCTCGCCCTGTCCTTCATCTCGGCGTCCCAAATAGCAATGATCTTCGAGTTTTCCAAAGGAATGCCGTCTTTGCGCTCCTGACGTAGACCATCAATGATATCGTCTGGTATCCGACCCTGACACGACCAGCCCATAGCTATCCTTTGCTTGTTGCTGAGGACTGTAGGCTCGGTTGCCGACTTCGTCGTCCGTTTCTTCACCTTCTTCACCACCACAGGCAAACCGCGTTCCTCTCGAATCGCGTTCTCCACGCCCATTGGCATGCGCCCTTTTGGTGCTATACCCTTCGCTATCCGCTCTTCTGCTGTCATTAACGGCTGAGCTAGTGGACGTTTTGCCGAACCGTGCTCAATGCTGTCGGGTATTGCTGACGGATCACCGGTCTTTTCGCGATGAGCAAGAATTTGGTTTTGAACATGTCTGCTCAGGCGAGCATGGCGATGCAGTCCCAGCTTGATCTTCTGTTCGGGAGTGAGCGAGATGGTTGAAGACGTCTTAGAAGCTTTAGCAGCCTTTGGTGCCCTGGCGGGCTTGACTTTGACGGCTTTCTGTTTCTTGGACCGACCTGCTGTATCCGATGTTGTAGGTTTCAGCATTGAACTCGAGTGCTTCTGATAGCCGATCTGCTCTGCGACACCGTTATCCCAACGCGGGCCGTTCTTGCGAGGTTTCACAATGGCCAGACCAGCTTCAGATAGTGTTGCTGCACCAGTCTTTCGAACTAAGTCTTTGGCGCTGACAGCTGGGAAACCCCACGCGTTGAGTGACACCTCGCTCGCAGAGCTCTTCGCAGATTTTCCTGGCACCGAAACACCTTCCCAGACAGCGATCTCGTCATCGACGGCTTTCTGGAAATTCTCGTACGTGCGATAGAGGTAGTGAACGAACTTCTTGGCTTTGGTATTACCAGCATCTCGTATGACAGCCAAATGCCGTAGATGGAAAGGCTGTGTCTTCTCCCAGTCATTGGTCACACGGGTGAAATACGATTCAATGGGCCGTCTCCAAAAGGGCCCGACAATCCGGTTGCGTAAAACCTCAGCGTCCCAACCCTGCGCACCAGCCAGTGCAGCAGCATTGAAGATCATGTTCGGAAGAAAGCGGTCAGGCGTCCATTGCGGGGGAATGCTGACAGCTTGATCAGGAGCAGGCTGAGCATTAGCTCGGTCGCTGACATTGGCATCTGGATCGTCTGGCATGTCGTCATTGAGATCGTTCAACAACGAGTCGCCATCGACATCCTCATCGCGTAGCTCGCCCTTCGCATCCGTCGTGATAGGAGCTGTTCGACGGAAGCCAAGGTTCCTGACGTCTTCGTCCTGTGGCGCGCGCATGACCTGAATGCATGTGATCCAAGCGTCGGCAGACTTCTTCTTACGAACTCTACGTCGCTTGATCATTCCTGTTTGATCCAGTCGGATAATTGCACCCTGGGTGGCGCGCTTGTTCCAGGATGACATCGGGACACCCTAGTAATGTTAGAACACGACACATGATTATAAAGGCCGTACACTTACCAGCTTCTCCCTAATAGATCGCGTGGGAACGATGCCACCTTGGCCAACTTTGTTGTACAGGAGTTGAGCAAAGTTCCGGACCACAAACGTACCGTCCTCCTGATACACGTCCTCAACGGCACTAGACTCGATGAAGGTGTTCTGGGAGACGAATTTGTTGTGAATACAGAGGCTGGTGCGCATCTTGTTGGATTGTACAGAAATCTTGCTGATGTAGTTCTTGCGAGCTAACTCATCCGTCCTATGCGGAACAGACCTCTTATCCTGGCCACTGACGTTGATCAGTTCGGGCTGTGTGATGCCTGCCGATCCGCGGGCAGCAATGAGAGAGAGCAAGACAAATTCCATGGCGGGGACCTTCTTCAAGTCGATACCGTGGCCTGTCAACGCCTGCCATACCCTGCTCTGACTCGCATACAAACGAGGGGCAGTGATGTCAGGGCTGGGATCGTCGAAGACTGCTGTGGTACGATGCGGTCCATCTGGCAGGTTACGTCGCGGTCGTGACAGATTTGGATGGGTGGGAGTTTCGGGCGACCGAGTGGAGGGGTCTTGCGGGTCATGTTGATCTCCGAGGATGTGTTGGCGCAGAGAGTCCCGCAAAGCAAAGAGAGATTTGGAAGGCTGCTCTACTGCTTTGATGGGATTATCGGAAGTTTGAAGTGAACCTGTTGCGGGTGTCTCGCCGATGGTACCAGTCTCGTGAAGCTCGGCCGCCTCGAACTCTGAGAGAGTGTATTGACGAACTTCCTGTTGGTAGACAATGCGGATATCAGGATGATCAGTGAGCCATTGCCACAGACGCTCATAGAACGTGCGGCCAAGTCCAGCCGAAGGAAGACGGCTGTCTCCATCATCAGACTTGGGTCCGCCGTTATCGACGCCTTGTTTGTAGAAGGTCTCAACGAAGTGACGGAAGTCGGCGCTAGTAGCACCTATGACATGTCAGTAAGTGAGACGATAGAGTGAATGACAAAAAGGCTAAAGCAAAGGGAAACTAGCGATCAAGGTGAAGCGAACGCGACACTCCGCCTTCCAAACAGTCTGGCGTTGTAGCTCATGGAGGAATAGAGGTATCGAGTCGCTCAGACGGAGGCCAGTGCGCGAGGAAGCAACGACTACACGCGCAACGAGTCATGCATACCTTGAATGCCGCGAAGTGCAATTTCTGACAGCAGAAATTCCAACAGCTTGTCAAAACCTGACGCCATGTTGCTACCACCCGCCCCCTTTCAACTCCGGCAGTGTGATTGAGATTGCGATGACACGCGCTTAATGCATGTCAAAAGTGGCGATGCGGCGATTCGAACGCGCACTGCGGGAAGATACTGGGTGAGATCGCGCTGTGAGTGGCTGCCGCTGTTGTGGATCACTTCTGGGCGCAATAGTCGGTGTATCGAAAATACCAAAAATTCCCGGCGGGCGCTTGGAGTAGTATGCAGAAGTTGTCGATGTCGAGTTTCGAACGCGTGCAAAAGTTGTCGAATCGGTAGATACTTTGGCTGCGTTTAGGTGGGGTTGGGAGCTGCAGAAAAGTGACTAAGAGAGGAAGAAATCTGCCCCGCGTCGCGCCTTGGCGGCTTGGTCCGCGCTCGCGCTAATCGAATAGGCAGGCACGCAGGCAAGTGCACTCACTTATCTGATAGTCGCCATCCCGTCCTCCAGAGGAAGCCGCTGCTCTTTCAGGCGCACATACTGGTGCTACTCAAGATTTGGAAGCATTTCCGCACAAACCCTAGGCAAATCAATACACATGTTCAGGGCCGACCTTAGTAAAAGATGATCTTTTGCAAGCACTAATAGCACTCCGACATGTCTTTCATCTCTCCCTTCGGTACATCAGCATCAAAACCTGGCCATGGACTCATAATCCTCGAAATTCTTCCTCCGGATACGCCTGTCCTTCGAACCGTGTCATATCAATACCCACTCAAGCTAGTCGCCCCAGATCCCCTAGCACCACCCAATTATGGCAGAGGAGCAGAGGACGCGACAGCAGCAGTCACCCCCTGTCTCATTCATACAGTGTTTCTGTTGACCTATGGTGGAGGCATCGTAGCTGGAGACAGCATAGACCTGGAAGTCAGACTAGACAGCGATACACGGCTGATACTGTTGACGCAAGGGTCGACCAAGATCTTCAAGACCCCTACTCCAGAGCTAGTCTCACGACAACATATGAACATACATCTCAAGAACAATTCCGCCTTAGTCTATCTCCCCGATCCAGTGCAGCCTTTTGCCAACACGGCCTTTTCCCAGTCCCAGATCTATCACTTGGAGAAAGAGCAAGGTAATCTGTGTGTCTGCGACTGGGTCACGAGCGGCCGTTCCGCACGGGGAGAGAATTGGGACATCTACGGATACAAGAGCCGCAACGAGGTCTGGACCGTAGACGATGCGGGCAAAAGGAGACTGCTTCTACGGGACAACCTCATTCTAGACAAGCATGGCAAGACGGGGCTGCAACTTTCATCACGTATGGATAGCTATTCTGTCTTCGGCACCTTGATCGTTCGCGGCCCCATCTTTTCGTCACTGTCAAAGTTCTTCTTGGATGAGTTCGAGGCACTACCGCGTATTGGTGGGAGGAACTGGGGCGACGCGGTGCAGCCAGAGCTTCAAGCGCATGAGCAGAGGCGGTATGAGAGGCAGCAGAGAGAAAAGGCGGATGGGCTGATATGGAGTGCTGCGAACGTGAGAGGCTTTGTCCTAGTCAAGTTCGCCAGCAGGGAAGTTGAAGGCTCGAGGAACTGGCTGAGAGACATGATCAAGGAGGAAGGGTCGTTGTTGAATGCATTTGGGGAAAGGGCAATTTTGTGTTTGAAGTGAAGCTAGAATTCGAAGATACCCGAGACCACGTAGATGAACGGAAAAGCAGATCTGGTTGGATGTCGTGTCTCGATGTTGTTCGTCGAGCGACTCGCAGCCCCACGCGGCGTGTTGAAGGCCCAAGCACCCGGCGTCCCAAAAGTCGATGGGTGACGTGCATAGCCGCACCTGAACGCTCGTCCAGCCGCGCACCCACGTCCCTACCTGACCCTATGCCCTACCACCGACCTGTCGTGGTCTCTTTGTCGTCAATATGAGCGGCAGGCTCGTCGCGGGCCGCCTTTCCACCATCGCACGCCGCTCACCGCTGCTCACTCCACGCTTCTACACGACGCACTCGCTGCCCGCCGGTGGCCTCCTCCGCAACCAGGCCGGCCTACGCCTGGTGAAGCGACGACCATGGCCGCTGGGTAGCTACTCGCTGCACAACATCCCCGCTACACGCTCCATCTCCTTTGCGCGCGTTATACCGAAGCTGGTCGGCAAGTTTGCGACTGTAGGCGCCGCTGCCGGAGGGGCTGTCGTTGCAGGCGTCTCATATATCCAGTACCAAGCTGGCCGTATGTATATACATTCTACTATATCAACCCAAGCTAACACCAAACAGAGGCGGGAACATTCGCACTCGACCTCTTCCACCGAACCAAAGACGGCGCGACCGAATTTGCGGGCGGCGCACTCAGCACGGCAAATGGCTTCTTCGACCAGCTAGAAAAGGGCTTCAAGTCGACCAAGGACGAATTCGAGGGCGTACAATACCCGGAATGGCTACAGCGCCTACTCGCCAAGGACGAATCTGGTGGTGGTGGCAGTAACGGTGGCGGCAGGGGCCCCGAAGAACCCAAGCAGAGCGGTGCTGGATCTGCTGCTGCCGGTGCATCAACAGCGGCAGCGTTCGGATATGCCCAGGAAGACGACGAGGACAGGCCGCAGGCGGAGAAGATCGCACGAGACGAGCAGATGATGATGCTCACCAAGAAGATGATTGAGATACGCGGGCTTCTGCAGACTGTTGGACAATCCGACTCGCTCACATTGCCCTCCATTGTTGTCATCGGCTCGCAATCGTCCGGAAAGAGTTCGGTCTTGGAAGCCATCGTAGGCCATGAGTTCCTGCCGAAAGGACACAACATGGTTACGCGACGACCCATTGAGCTCACACTCGTCAACACACCAGATGCGCACGCAGAGTACTGCGAATTCCCAGCTCTCGGCCTGGGAAAGGTCACAGATTTCAGTCAGGTGCAGAAGACGTTGACAGACCTGAACCTGGCTGTGCCAGCGAGCGATTGCGTCTCCGATGACCCTATCCAACTGCGCATCTACTCGCCAAACGTCCCCGATCTCTCCCTGATAGACCTGCCCGGCTACATCCAGGTCGTTGGCCGAGACCAGCCCCCGCAGCTGAAGGAAAAGATTTCGCAGCTTTGCGAGAAATACATCAAGGCACCCAATGTCATCCTCGCCATCTCCGCCGCCGACGTGGATCTGGCCAACAGCACCGCGCTGCGAGCGTCCCGACGTATGGACCCTCGAGGCGAGAGGACTATTGGTGTCATTACAAAGATGGACCTTGTGGATGCCGAACGCGGTGCCAGCCTTCTCAGCGACCAGAAGTATGCTCTGCGTCTGGGATACGTCGGTGTTGTGTGCCGGGTACCACCCGGTGCTGGTGGCTCGAAGCTCTTTAGCCGCGGCAACGGCAACATCACCAATGCGATTACAAAGAACGAAAAGGCGTACTTCTCTTCGCATCCTGAGTTTTCAGAAGGATCAGAGCTCGCCGTCGGAACGCAGAACCTCAAGAAGAAGCTCATGCATGTGCTCGAGCAGACAATGGCCGGCAGCCTTAAGACGACAAGCGAGGCTATCCAAAGGGAGCTTGAAGATGCCCGATACGAATACAAGGTCCAATACAACGAGCGACCTATCAGCGCAGAGTCATACCTTGCGGAATCATTAGATGGTTTCAAGCACTCCTTCCGTGGCTTTACCGAGCAGTTCGGTCGCCAACAAGTTCGTGACTTACTCAAGCACGAGCTCGACCAGCAGGTACTCAATCTGCTTGCACAGCGCTACTGGAACAGACCTTTCGATGACCTCAGTGTTCCCTTCCCTGAGACCGACCCTCTTACGAACCTTGCCAAAGCTGATATCGACGGCGAAGATCAAATATGGCAGATCAAGCTCGACAGCTCCAGTGCTGCACTTACGAAACTGGGTGTCGGACGTCTAGCTACCAACGTTGTCGCAAGTGCGCTCCAAGCACACATCGACCGCCTCATCACCAACTCTCGCTTCGCCGCCCACCCCTTCGCCCGACAAGCCATTACCGACGCTTCCACCTCCATCCTCAAAGACCTTTCCTACGACATCTCCGATGAGTTGGAGATCTGCATCAAGCCCTACAAATACCGCATCGAAGTCGAGGACAACGAATGGGCAAAGGGTCGGGAAAATGTCACAGCTGTGCTCAAGGACGAGCTGAAGGTCGTCGAGGCTGCCGTAAAGCAGCTTGAAGAACAAGTTGGTGGCCGTAAGCGAGTCAGGGACGTAATGTCTTTCATTGACCGCGTACGAAGCGGACAAGTTGTTCTTGAAGGTGACGGAGTTGGTGGTGCTGGCGGGTTCAGCTCTGCCCTCCTTGCTAAGGGTAAGTCTACCTCTCTTATCACCCGAACTCAGTACTAACAACATTACAGGCCGGGAAGCAGTCTTCCTCCGCGACCGTATCGACGTGCTCAAACTACGCCTGCTCGCCATCAAGAGCAAGCAATGCGCCAGCAAGAAGAACAAATACCACTGCCCAGAAGTTTTCCTCGACGCTGTCGCAGACAAGCTTACAACGACTGCCGATCTCTTCCTTGACGCTGAGCTGCTAAGCAAGTTCTACTACATCGTAAGCCACTACCCGTATCCTTACTCACACAACTTTCACTAACACCTTCTAGTTCCCACGTGAACTCGACGCCCGCCTAGGCCGCGGTCTCTCCCAAGAAGAAATCGACCGCTTCGCCAAGGAAGACCCTAAGATCAAACGCCACCTCGATGTCGTGCGTCGCAAGGATCTTCTCGAACACGTACTCAAGGAGATGGAGGGTCTGCGCCAACTCGAGCAAAGAGAGAAGCGCATGATGGGCCGTCGGGACGATAGGGATGAGCGGAGGAAGAAGGGCTGGAGTATGTTCTAGATGTAGGAATGACTGGATGACGACGGCCTTCGTGTTGGGTATAGACTGTATGGCGCTGTTGGCGTTTCGTGAAGCGGAAAAGAAGCTTCTTTGTTGATGTTGATGATGACTTCGCTGCTCCCTTATTGGTCTTATTGGATTGAGATTATGTATATATGACTTTCTGATCACACTGTTCGCGTTCATCCAGGTCTCTACTTGATGCCTAACAGCCGCTATGGAAGGCGTGTTGCATGAAGATGATGTCATGTAAGTATGAGAAAGATGGTTGATTGTAATCTCATCTATCGGGTATCTTCAACTAATGCCTTCAGGAACTATGATGCTAGGTCCCCCACAAGAACAAACTCCTTTAGAACGCCATACATGCCACGTAAAATCGTATCTTCATCTTTCCTCCCCTCTTCTTAAGGGTCGGTGGTCTCGATCAACCGATCAAACCCCAGTGTCTCTTAACCCCCCAATCCAACCTCGTCATACCCTGCAAATCATCTCCGTTCAAGTATCCCACACCCTCCTCCACCAGCATCTTCCACACCCTGTTCCTCAATCCAATAGGAAACTTGGGCGCACTCCAGTAGCGCGACTTCAACCCTCTCTCCTTCGCGCTCTGTATCTGGGCGCGGATTTTGAGGCGTTGAGCTTCAGTGATGCGACCGAACCAAAGTGTGCCGATTGAGTGGCCAAAGTTGACGGATGCGTAGTACGAGTTTGTGCTGTCGAAGTGGGAGGTGGGTGTTGTGCCGACTGTGCCTTGACCGCCGCGGGTGGTGACTGAACCTTCATCGAGCTTGTCCAAGGGAGCGTCGAAGAAGATGTCGCGGTAGGTTGAGTTTGCGGTGATGAGATCGAAGGGGGCGTTGCCAGTTGCGACGACGGTGATTGCCCCTTCGATGGTGGTGTTGCCGTTGAAGTAGGTAAGGTAGCCCTTTTCGCGGAGTGCATTGAGTTGTTGGGATACTACGGGGAAGATATCGTGACCGTTGTTCTTGAAGTCGACTAGTAGGACCAGAGTCTGCGCAGGCTCGGTGTCGAAGATGCCGTTCTTGACATTGGATGATGTCGCAAATTCTCCGAGCTCGTTCTTGTGGTCTAGCATCTTGACCAATGGGTCGACGTACATGGATGTGAAGGTGCCATCTTGCGTCAGGGCGTTGGTGCTGTGACCAACATACAGCTCTTCGTCAAAGAGCCAAACATCTGCTTCGACGCCTGTGCAACCCCAGCGTAGGGCGTCGTAAAGTGGTACTCGGCGCCAGTAATCGTTGTGCGAGTGGCAAGGGACCGGAGTTACGTCGCGTGTTATATCCAATAGCTGCGTCTTGTCTAACACACTCGAGTCGAACGACGAGACTACATAGCCATCCAGAAAGGTAGGCACATAGCCCAGGAACACATTGACGATGTGAAGAACACCACTAATAGAGTCAGTATACCTATTATTATTTCTCCAGATCATGACAGGATGACAGCTGCATGTAGGGCAGGGAACTGTCGAATGAGAGGGTTGCCGCCGGAACGCGCGGAAGCTAAGGTCTGACAGGCACTTACAAGAAGATGAATACCAGCAGTGGTATTATAACACAGGCTTTAGCTGCATATTTCCTCTTCACTCGATACTTCTTCGACTGCGTCTTTTCATCCGGTAGCCTCACACGTCCACAGTCCTCGTCGACCCGCAACTTTGCATTCCGTCTTCGAATGCTCATCCTCAGCCGGTGCCAGAACCCAGGTCGCGATACTATCTCCTCCTCGTCCGAAGCAAAGATGGAGCCGTTGCCATCTTCTAGCTCGCGCAAGGAAACATGA